TGGGGAATTCTGGGAGTTGAAGTCCACTCATCTCAAAGTGGCCAAGTTTGGACAACACTGGATTATGGGCAGCATAGAATCCCTAGCACACATATTCCCAAAAGGTTTTTTTTTTTCCTGAGAGGGGCATTTTCACTTGGGGGGCAGTAAGCTCCGTAGACAATAACTGAAGAATGTGTGAGTCCTGGAGGAGCAGGGAATATTGGACAACACCCATGTGCTACCATCTTATCTCACTCCAATCCTAATGTTTGTCACAGACCTTGCAAACCTGCCAATGTCTTTTAATGGCCCCTCTCAAGATGGCTGCCTTTCTACTGACCAGTTGAATTCCACAAGCTTTCTAAAGGCAAACATTGAAGAATAGCCTGTCTTGCTCCAGGAGGCCCCTGACCACTCGTCTGTCTTCTGTGCCAGCTACTCCAGACTGTTCTGCACTGCTTGCAGAACTTCCCTGCATCGCATATACTACTTCTACCCCTTCTGTTCCTCAGTTCCTTCCTCACTCTGGACTGTGAGTTTGTCACCTCACTGCGTGATCCTAAGAAGCACAAGTATCTGCTAGACCTGGAAATCTGGTTACTTGGACTTTTGTAGTTTTCCAGCAATCCAGGGGATATCTGGACAAGGCTGGCTCAAGGCAGTTTGGTATCTAAGATAAAGGAGGACCAGATTTCCCCGCTACTCCATGTACAGAAACTGACCTCGCTGGGAGTTAAATCTGATCTCCAAACTAGCAATAAGATAGCTTTCTCTACCATACCTGAGGGCAGCGTGGATTAATACTTAAAAGGCCAGGCTGGCGGTGTAACATATAAAACTATCTCCTTCAACATTTCATTGCCGCCACCACCATCAGTATCTGCAGCTTGAGGTCCATCTTATTTATCTTCTGGTAGGGCTAGCCCTGAATGCAAAGATAGGTCTGTTTGCTTATGGCAACAATGTCCTGATCCATATTGGTGTCCAGCATACTCCGGAATCTGAGCTCGTAAGGATCAGCTGACTCTAACAAGGTCCAGTCTACTTTCAGAGAACCTTAGAATCCGTTCCTGAAAACTGAAATGAACGTTACCCACTCACCACTTGTTCAGAAACCTCAATGGGGTCTGGAAAGATAATCCAGGTCACAACCTCTTCACAGTTTGGAGTGGTGAGAGAGCCTTTGTAGCAGTAATAGTGGCTTACGTCTGCTGTGCTCAATAAGCCACCCACAGAGAATTCCCCATTCAGATCCCAAGTGTCACCTAAAAAGCCAGAAAAAGAGACCAGTATAACATTACCTCATTTTTTTATGGGTAGGGAATGGATGGGACTGGAGAGACTCACCTTTCTCTGGGATTTTTTTGAAGAGGTTAGCTAGAGTGTTCCATGGATTGACTTGGGCATACTTTCGGGACTTCTATGGGGAAATGAAGGAAATTAGTACATGTTCTCCTGCAAGCATACTAATAAACTACACATACATCCTACTTGATGGGGTGCAGGGAACAGCCTGTTAGCTTGCCAAATAGTCTCTAAATTAGAGATGCTAGCTTGTAGAGAATAGCATGAGCATGCCTGGGGCAAAGGTGGGCTTTGGTTGCATTCATGTGTACTGGTCTGTGGGAATGACCTTGGGAGACAGGAGGAACAGCCGCAGACTGGACAACGGTTGTGTAAAAGGTATCTCAGCCCACAGAAGGAGAGAAGGCATGGGAAGTGTTTCAGAAAGGACCTTCCCTAGTTTTCCAGAGAGTAAAAGGAGAGGAGGGAAGAAATACTTTCAGTCTTGCAAGATTCTGTTAATGTAACCTTACAATAAATATAAAGCTAGTACTTATAGTTGTGCTTCTTGTCTGGACTACCTCAAAGGGCTAACACATAATTGTTAAAATGTGTCCAAACTGACCAACACTATCTTTTCTGTTATTAGGGAATGCTTCACCTGATATGAGGACAACTAAACCTGGTGTCCTAGTTTACATCTTCTCTACCTTACCAAAACCTGTATTATATGAAAACTTTGCTTGTCCAAAGTCATGATGGACAGCAGAGGTCAGTAACTAGGGGCCCATCAGGCGATGAGCATGACTTACAGGAGATGTTAGTTTGGAATGTACAAAGAGTAAATGGTAAAGAATATAAATTAACACAGAAAATAAAAGAAAGAAAAATAGTGTTATGTGAAACTAAGAGAATGAGGGTGGATGAAACAAATTTTAGAGAAGCTAGCCTGAATTCATTAATGCATGCAGGGAAATGACAGTAAGTTTCATAATTAATGAAAACACTGAAATGTATGTATAAATTGGTGTCATCTAGATTCTTGTGGATGTTTATGAAGGTAGGAATCTGTAGGTTGTTGCTAACTGCAGTTATGGTCCAATGAATGGTGATGGAAGAAGAATCAAGGATGAGTTTTGGGGAAAAATTCTGCAATATTCTGATTGAATATAATCCAAGAGAATATATGTATATATGTATGTATGTATGTATGTATGTATGTATGTATGTATGTATGTATGTATATTAGGTAAGAGTAAGATGAGAGAGTATAGAAAGGGTTTTGGAACCACTGGAAACTCTAGAATGAATGAGAATGGTAAACATTTGATGAATTGGCGATGTTTGCCGGCTTCCCCTGAGGACTATCAAGACCATGTATAATACCTTGCAAAAAGAATCATAAAAGTCAGATGCATACTTGAGAAATTTGTGTGGTAGAATAAGAAGAGATGGGTTTAAGGACTGGGCGGGTGCTGAAGGAAAGTGCATGACCAGCACAAAAGGAGCATGTTAAGCTGGTTTGATCATACAGAGGGAAAGAATGAGGACTAGACTGCAGATCAAATGTATGATGGAAGAGAGAACAGGTCCAGAGGAAGGGGAACCAATTAAGTCATGGCTGGATGGCAACCTGAAAAAGCGAAGATGGAGGAACAACAGCTAAAGTATGAAGTAGTATGTGGATGTGGTAGACACGAGGATGGTCTGCAAGAATAAAAAGATATACAGTAGAGATGTATGGGGAATATTTTGGTGTGAGCTAGATTTAGAGTTACTGTATTGCCTTCTCTTTTTCTTATCTCATTTCTTAATTTCTTCTCTTTGCTATTTCATATTCCACCCTAGACAGCCCAAGGAACAGAGAGAGTCTTGGACCAATCCAGCCTTTGACTGGCACCAACCATTCACGCTACTCACCTTCATGAACAATGCCAGGACAGCCACTCCTTCAGGATCCTTCAGTGCCTCTTCTACACTCATGTTGTTTTTAGTGTGAACCAAGTGGAGCTGATGCAAGAATGGAGAAAGAGCATGAACGTCAACATTTTAAATATAGTGTAACAATACAGCAGTTTGGTGCTCAAGTCCAGCAGGATTATTCCGATGTGGAGGACCAAGTTCTCTCTCTCTCTCTCTCTCTCTCTCTCTCTTTCACACACACACACACACAGTGCCAACAAAGCTCACTGATTGGCTACTTGTAGTTCTCAACTGTTCTCTTAAGATAGTCCTCAGGACAGTAGTTGTTCTCTCTTTTTTAAGAAGCAACCTATTCCCAAAGGACTTTGCACCTCCCATTAGTGATTTTTACCTGCTTCCCCTGAGGACTATCAGGACCATGTAAAATAGCTTACAAAAAGAGCCAGCCAAAGTAGGAAAACAGACAACAAAGTTAGAGAACCAGGATGGCAGAATAGTAAACCGATCTTAGCTTGTCAAGCCATCAGCACTATTCTCCTACCGTCGAGACAAGTGTCCATCTCTTAGTAGTTCCATTTCTGCCGTTATCCTGAATTGATTACCTCCATGCTATAGCGTTGGCCGTTGATTGTATGCTCTGAGCCATCGCTGTCCTCAGTGCCCCAGTGGAAGTGGAAATGCTGTAGGTAGTATGTGGCTCGAAGGCCGGCACTAGAGATTGTTGCTCCTGAATGAAGTACCACCTCAGCTGCAACAAATCCAAAGCAAGGTTACAAGCGAATATCTTGATGGGTCTTTGGCTAAGGAACAGACACCAAGTACAGTTGGCATTATTCAAACGCACTTTGATCTAGTCTGTTCAGAAATCAAATCCAATATTTAGGTAGACAGGTGTCGCACAAGGCCAGAAAAATTGGTTTGAAATGTTGCAGTGTGGGTAAAAGAACCCTTGAAATCTGAGAAAGAAAAGGGGGAACTTTAAAGCATGGCAAATAAAGACCCGATGGACATTTTGCCCTGTTTTTTTTTAATTGACTGATTGATTACAGGCCATCAAGTCACTGCCGACTTTTAGCGACCACAAAGGCATTAGTCCCTCACTTAAGGAACCTGAGAGAAAGAAACCCAGTCAACTCACAGAGACCCCACCCGTAACGTATTGACCAATAAATGCAATCTGGAGTTTTATTTATTTAGTTTCAAAAATTCTGCATCCTTACCCCTTTTTTCCTAGCACTGAACCTGATTAATGAGAATCTGGGCAAGATTCTGGCTTCCTTGATCTTGTGTTGCTGTTTAGGCTTGACAAGCTTGGAAACTGGTCAAATTACCAGCTCTCACATATTAGTAAATGCGTTAAGGGAGGGTCTCTGTGACTTGTCTAAACTTCTTTCTCTTGGATTCCTTAACTGAAAGACTAACACCTCTTTTAAGGGATAAGAATGAAATGTCTGTCTGCTCTCTGTTTGCCATGTTTGGCAATGCTCACCCTTGATACAACCTCTGTTGTACTGTAATACTCTAAGTCCACCAGTCTGAAAATTGCCAAGGCTGGGAACCATCGGCATAGAAAGGAATGTGCCTGGATCAATTATGAGAGTTCCAGGTGAAAGAACTCCTTATACATAATGCAATGGATGGTCATTAATGAATTCGTACCTTGATAGCCTTTATTCTTAAGTTGCTTTACGAGTTTACGGTCTTCGTAGTTGGTGAACCTTATAGGTCCCAGACCAGCCCAAGGAACGGCATCCTTGGTATCAATGTTGATGGGAGACTGTTTCCTGCCATTGCAGAAACCAAGAGATCCCCAAGTCTGAGGTCCTAGCAGATAAGGAATAAGGAGATGATTATATTCACCGTACAATAGTGTCCCCTTGCTTTTTTTGTTTCTTTCTGCAATTAGAACATTTCCTAGAATTTGGCAAATGGGGTTGTGTGTATGTACTTACATAAAGCCTCTTTAATGGTCTGGATGAAATGGGTTTTTTTGTACATTACAAGTGCAGAATTCTTTCAGACATGGAGGCTATCTTGAAATAAAGTCTGGATTTCATTAGAGGTACTCTCAGTCAACAAAATAATATAATAATTATTATATTATATTAATTATATTATATTAGCCACCTGGGGGTGGCTAGCACCTTGAAGATGCTCCTGTAGGTTAATAACCTTATCCGTACCTTGGAAGATATTATTATTTATGTATGAATATGGCTTTTACTGTATTTTTATTGTATTTTAATTAATATTTATTCTTGTTTTTATTGTAAACTGCCCAGAGTCACTCCTTAGTGAGATGGGTGGTGACCAAATTTGAAATATAAACAAATAAATAATGAGCCTGTATAAAAATTAGAAGCAATTTCAGTGTTTATAAATACTGTGATGCAATCACCAGTCAGGTACAAAGGAAGGGATTTTGGAACTTAATATTGTTTCTGCTGATTTTTCTCCTTATTTATTATTTTCTCTTGTTTTCCTTTACATGATTACATGCATCTCTTTATGGAACAATGACAAATAGTGGTGATATATCAATATTAATATTATGTTTAGAGTTTTATAGAGATTTTTAGTTATTTGATGATATATTGAACCTAGTTCTATACATTGAATGAATAAAACGAATTTCCAATGTTATGATAATTATTCATTCTTCATTTACTGATATTTTATTCATTCTTTATTTACTGATATTTTATCTACCATGTCTCTTTCTGCCTTATTTTTTTTTCTTTCATGTAGCTATTTATTCTGTTCCTTAAATCTTTTAAACAAATTATTGATTAAAAAAATAAAAAATTAACAAGGCTGACTTTTATTGGTCTCAGGTTTCTAGAAGGATCCCTTTAATATTTTATATCTGGGCATTGTCAAACCAGGTTTGTGCTGGACCTTCTGGGCTGAGATGAAGACTGAACATCCTTTAAACCATATCTTCCTAGCTAAGATATAGCAATGATCTGCATTTATTGGCAAGGGCAACTCTTTCTTTTCTCTTAGGGAAGCATATTTGTGTGTGCAGATTCGGCCACATCATTTTTAAAAGGCCATTTCCTATGGTGTTAAAGGCGAGGATGCTACGCCGTGCCTTGCATTCAAGGGGTACTTCTGAGGCTTCTGTACACCAGGGCTACACAACCAAGGGATCTGGACCACAACTGCCACAAAAAAATATGTAGCAATGGGCTGAAAGGAAAAAGCTGTTGGCAAAAGCCTTTAGAAGTTCTTCCTCAAGTTACAGCACTTTTTAACAGCGAGATTGCTGAAGGTATCCTGGGAGATACCAGCCTGTAATTACGTTCTATGAGAACTCACAGAGAAAAGCATTTTTCCATGCTCAAGTGGTGTGTGAGGGCGGGTGTGTTCATTCATTTAGACTCATTATTGCCTTTCCCTTCTCATGTTAATGTTTTTAAATTAATTTAAATTAAATTAAATCCCCATGCTGGCTGGGGAATTCTGGGAGTTGAAGTCCACACAGCTTCAAGTTCCCAAGGTTGAGAAACACTGATCTAGTGTTTTAATTATTACTACTTTTATACCATTAAGCTTATATGTTAAGGCTAGCCTTTTAAAAAAAGCTGTGAAGTAGACTTCTTCAAAGTGTCCTCAGCCGAGGAAGGGAGCGGTAAATTAATAACAATAATAGCCAATATGAAGCTCAGGGTGGGTACTGATTGCATTGGAGAACCTTATAATGGATTTGCTGGGTGAGGGTGTGCCAGTCACGTCGTCTCTCCAGAGAAAAGCTTTGTGGTTTCCACAATGAGAAGATTTCTAGAGTCAGGGGAAAATCTAGGATTGCTACGTGGCTTACCACAACTTGGTTTGTCATAACACCAGGTCTCTGCAAGAAAGAAAAAGAAAAGGGAAATTAAGTGGCTTTTTTTAGTAAGCATTTAAGGGAAGGAATGCCAAAAGCATTGCAAGGTATTTCTTCCATTCAGAGGTGTTTGCGGGGATCCAAAAAATCAAGATGGCAGCCCAGCCGTGCAATCAAAGCCCCACCCCTTCTCATGTGTGCCGTATGTGTATGGTTATGGCCAGCATTTTAACTTTTTTGACCAGCTCCTGCAGACACCCCTGCTTCCATTAAATGCCCAAATCATCTTTCTGGCATGCAAAGAGGTTGTCTAATTCTCTTACTTGTCAGGTTTCCTAATCCCTCACATATAAGAACTGAAGGTGCTGAGAAATCTGCTTTCTCAGAGATAAATTATGGATGGTTAAAGTGAGATTTTCTTCCAAAAGAAGAACCATTGTATTTGTTAAGATTTTCACTTCTGGGATTAACATGAAAAGAGAGAATTCAACAATACAATCCATTCCTAAGGACAGGACATAGTAGCACTTTCTCCAAGGACTGACGCCTCCAAAGTAGCCTGCTTTGGTGATTGTAAGCTCTTAATTTCCAACCAGAAGCAACTAATGGCAAATTCCTCTCCATTCTGGATGATGGGCTCCAGATTATTTTCTAAAAATGACTATCAGTTCAGGGGTTTGTCACTGGCTGGGAATTGCAAGTCCACATTCTAGGAGGGTGTCACGTTGTGGAAAACTGAATCTTACCATTGTGACTATCGCAGAATCCTTCCAGGATCACGACAATCAAAATGCACGCTAATGATTTCAATGGAAAACCGACACTTCCCATTGCGACCTGCACAGAGGGGGGACATGATTGGTAGACCACAGACTAGTCTCTCTTTCTCTCACACACAGTTTTTACAGCCTGCTCAAATCAAAAAGACTCCGGGCAGGTTACTAAAGCAGGTCAACTAAGGATATTGGGATAAGCCCTTTGGGATATGTATCTACCAAGTCATGAGTTTCTCCCTACTACTTACCTCATGAGTTTCTCCCTACTACTTACCTGCCCAAATAATTCCTTGTGTGCTAACTACTCTAAACAGTAATTAAGTAATGCCATTTCAAAGGACGTATAGTAGACCTGTCCAACGTGTTGCTCTCTCAAGATCTTAAATTCCAGTTTGCATAAAGGTTGTAATTCAATACTGCAAGAGGCCCCAAGTCACTCACTGAGCTTCTATGGCTGAGGGGGAACTAGAACCTGTATCTCCTCACTCCTATTCCAACACCTTTACCACTACACCACCTTGGTTCTTGGACTGACAGAATGTAGCTAGCCCAAAGTCATGTAGTAAGTTTCCATGGCTGAGAGTAGACTAGAATCTGTGTCTCCCTGCTCCTAGTCCAACACCTGAGCCACTACATTACATGTCAACTTCTGAAACCCAGCCAGAATCAGCCCTTATCTGATTCCTGAGCCATCATGCAACAAGGATGTTCAGTGAAGTCCTTGAAAGCAAAGTGAATTCCTCAGGAGAGGCACAAAATAGCTGGAAATTTGTGAGGGACTTCACATCAAGGTCAAAAATGCTTGGATTCTCTTGGATTCAATTCTACCACTGGGAGAATATCTCCCCACTGCTTACCTGCTGTGCTCAGGTCTTTCTGGATTTGAAGTCTTTGGGAACTGCTTCTTTCCAGAAGTGTCTTTCAGTCTGAGGAAACGTTGCTTTTATTATGGGTTACCTCCTCCCAAGGAGGAGGGGAGCAATGGGTAGGAAGGCAGTGATTGGACACACCTTAAAATACAAGAGGAATTGGACCATCCAAACAGGCACTTGCCTGTTGATGAGAGGCTGATGATTTGTTTGTATACATACTATGAGGAAATCATCTGAACAGCCAACCAATTAAACAAAATTAGTTGATTTATATATCATCTGGCATGTCATTGAGAGGAGGCCAGGACTATCTTGAATCATGTTTAATTGCTCTATTTTAACCCATCTAAGGACCCTGAATACAGAATATTCCCAACTGAGGTTAGCTGGGAATCCTGGAAGTTGTAGTACTGACACATCTGGAGGGTTTCTGCTTGGACACTTCCAGTATCTGCTGATTACGGAACTAAGGAAAGGCTGGAAATATCTCCTGCCATTCATTTATCTTCCCTGACCTTCATTCCAGTTAAAAGCTGGGGTGTGTGTGTTATTTTGGCTTTCTTTTTCGTTTATACTCAGGAATTTGACATTGGTGATAAATGGAACATGTTCTCAGGCCATAAAGATGGATTGTCCATTTGAAGAGATGGAGGAGGTACAGCTCTTCCATTAAGGTTAGCCTTTGGAGAAACACAATTCATTTCAAGAGGCACAAATGTTGCAAGGACAGATGTGGCTGTTGTTGAAATGAGACTTGGTGGGAGAGGTTAAGGAAGGCAGAGGGGTGGGCAAACAGGCTGATCCGACCTGTAGGACACAATTTGCCAGGAAGCATTTGAGGAGCAAAATCCAAATGCCCCCCTTCTTCCTATTCCTTAATAAGGAGCACAATCCAGGGAACTGTGCACACCCAAGCCTTGCTTGTCATACAACTGTAATATTCTGCTTTAATTCCTATGTGTTCAGTGAACTTGAATGGGAGACCTTCCCTATCAGTTCTGCCCCCTGTTCATTAAGGGGATGACCTTGGGATTTTCTGGATCTCCATAAATTTGAAGGGCTTCAGTAAGTTTCAGGTGTGGCCTTCTTTTCCTTACCTTCTCAAGCGTTTGAGAACCAGCAGGAATTCTAATATTGTTCATTTAAATAAAGAAGGGAACACTGGAACCTCAGGACATTAGCCACAAAGTCTACTTACTACTTCTTTAATTTCCTGAGTTTATAAGAAGAAACCTGCAACTCCTGCTCTTGTTTCTTGCACAGACACCCACATGTGGCAGAACAGCTTGCTTCTGATGTGAAATGCTGGTGCTGTGCTTGGCCACAGCCGAACATATGATCCATAATGATTGGAGACCAGTTTTTAGGGCCAAGATGTAGACACCAGAACTAGTTTTAAGTGCCACAATTCACTCTGGCATCTTACAAGGAAGGTGCAGTGTCTTTCCAAGGCTGTGACCCACATATCCCAGGAAAAGCAAACTTCCAGGTTAGGTGGCACAGCCTCCTCCCAAACTGAATCACATTATTCCTCACTCTCTAAATTAAAGCTATTCATAAGCCATGCTCCCATTTGCATTGAACCAGGGCACACAGTTTTTCTACCAAGTTCCCATGTTGTTGCACTCATCTTGTCCCTAGATAAGCTGAAGCTGTCCTTAGATATTCCAGTTTTAAAGGGGTATTTTCCCTCTTTAACCAACAGCAATGACAGTTGCAAATGTGAAAAATGTACTATGCTGTATCATCTATTATGTCAGAGTTAAGTCGAGTGATTAGTAATGGGTAGGATCAGGGAAGCACTAACTGCCTTTGCAGATCCCTGAAATCCCCAGTTCCCAGTTAGCCTTGTCTTCTGCCATTCTGCTCTTGTCTCCCTAAACTGGAGGACATAACGGCGCTGTTTTTATCTGTTATTTATTTAAAGCATTTATGTCACCACCTGGCTCAAAGAATGTGATTCAGGGTGGCACGCAAAACCAATTCACAAAAATGCCAAGAGAAAAAAACAAACACATACAAATAAAAGAAATAAAACAATTAATTGGTGATCAGAGACTCACATTTGTTATATTCCACCAAATGGGAACCCTAGTCATCTTGAGCCAAGCGTCCTTCAGATTTGCACAAGAGCAGTAGAGCTGTATTTTGTTGGCCCCAGGATGTCCTTTGCCTTCTTCCAGTAGCATGCAAAGAATAACCTGTGTGTTTTGTCTGCATAGCATCATATGATTCATGGATGTCACTATATTACGTCCTCTGCTAAAGAGTAGAAGAAAATCTTTCCCTCTGTGCATTGGATGGAAGGGTTTGGCAGAAGTTCCACAAGCAAAGCTCTTTCCACCACAGAGATATAATCCTGGCAAAGATGGAAAAACAGCTCCCCAATGGAAGATACCAGCATAATGCAGTCACTTTGGTGAAGCTGAGCAGGTTTAGATCTAGTCAGTAACCGGATGGGAGATAATATAAGTTGCCTTACATTTCATGATGAAGGCAAGGTGTGATGTAAAACTACCATTTAATAAATGTAAAATACTTCAGGTATGCCTACTTACCAGGGCTCTGCCCCAGAATTAGCCTAAAAGGATAAATGACTCTGATGTACAGGTAATCCCCAGTTTAAGAACAAGTTCTGTTCCCAAGGTCTGTCTTTAAAACCAATTTGTATGTAAGCTGGAACAGTGTTATTGTATAATGCTGTATAAGTAGTATTGTGTAATGAACAAACCATTGTGTAGATAATTCAAATCATTGTGTATTTAATTCAAATTTTGCTACAATAGATTCCGTTTTTAACTCTGGGTTATTGGTAACCTGGACGTTCTTAACCCGGGGACTCCCTGTATATATAAATTCAATGTCTAACATCCTTTCTTCATATTGCACTGAGATTGTTAGACGCTCAAAAGTGGAAAGGTTCAGCACTACCCACAATGGCAGAATGATTGTTAAAGATGATGGAACTCGCAGGGATGGCTAAGCTGACTTCTTTGATTAGAGAAAAGACAACATTTACATTTACTGTTGACTGGAAACCCTGGATAGTCTTTTGCATGAAACAGAAAAAAATGAATTTTTGATTTGTGGTTTTGATGATTAGAAAACATCAGATAATAGGAAAAAAAGAGCTTCTTTGGTAACCATAGAGCAGTGCTTCTCAACCTTGGCAACGTTAAGAAGTGTGAACTTCAACTCCCAGAATTCTGGGACTAAGAAGTGTGGGCTTCAGCTCCCAGAATTCAACTCCCAGAATTCTGGGAATTGAAGTCCACACATCTTAAAGTTGCCAAGATTGAAACACACTGCCATAAAGTAAGAGTTAATTTTGTAATCATGCTTATATTTGCTGCAAAGGAAATTGGAAGCTTCTTCTTTCAACTTCTTATCTTTTCTTTTTGCACTTTTGTCTTTTCCTTTCTTCTTTTTTCCTTTCTTCTCTTTCTTTATTTTGTATTAGTTTTTGTTAGTTTTTAATCTTCTTTTTAAAACTTTTCATAAAAGTTATATTAAAAAATAACGTCCTTTCTCCATGAGCAGTCGTTTGCCATTCCTTTGGTGAGAGAAAGATCTGCCATCATAATGAAATGTTGTCCTATTTTGTGACCCTCAAGTACTTGAGATGGCAAGTGTTTGCCACTATGGAAAACAGCCAAAGGAGGTTGTATAAATCACAGTCTGGGGACATGAGAAAGCCACTATCATGGGACAGGGAATAAAATTGGGCTTGCTAAGCCATTCTGGTAGCCCAAGAGCTGCATTTGTACAACACAGAACCTGCTTCTTGAATTGTTCCATTTTTCACGGACTGTATCAAATCACAAACTACTCAGACAGGCTGGGTTCCCATCACTTGCTGAGTCTCAAAAGAAATAAACCAAAGGTCAAAGTGCAAGCTTAGCATGATATGGGCATGCAACTCATGGAGCCTTTCACTGGCTTGCAAATGCAACCTGTAAATCAAAAGTTGGAAACGGATTAGTCAATGCCATTGCTGATGCAACAGAACAGCTAAAAGACAGAAAGGTGAAATAGATTAACTTGAGCTAAGACCTCTAATGCGGAGAGTCAAGATTTGTTTAATTTGGATTTGTTCCATTAATCCAAAATTTGGCAACCTTTCCTCTGGAATAAACAATACTTTGACTCAGTTATGGTAGCTGAATGTTCATTTACACTGTAA